AGTGAAAAATACAGCTTTGCATCCTTCAGAACAACCAATACCTCCACCTCCACCATTGGCCGAAGAACTTCTTCCACAACCACCAATACCTCTACCTCCACCATTGGACAAAGAACTTCTTCCACAACCAATACAAGATGTTCCTCCACCATCACCATCGGCCAAAGAAGATGTGCCACTACCAAAATATAGTTTATCAATGCACATGATTCAAAAAAGAAAAAGAGAAGATGACGAAAAAGCAGAGAGTTCATCAAAACAAATCATACCATATGTAAAAAAGAAGAACAAAGAGATTATCTCGGTTGATAATATAATAATTGAGCCACAGCCTGCATTGGAAATTATGAATTATCCCGGGAAGCCTTTTCTAACAGAGCAAAAACAACAATTTATGAATGAATGTTTCAGAAAATTTAATAGAAAGTAAGTTTACTTGCGGTATGGTTGCGCTAAGGTTGCGCTATGGTTGCACTATGGATGCGCTATTGTTGCGCTATGGTTGCGCTATGGTTGCGTTTTAACATTAAATTTTTCTTTGTTTTTGTATGGACCACATAATATTTGCATCTGAAAACATAGAGATAAAAAGATCAGATATTGACATTCTGCTCACAAATGATTGGTTAGGAGATAACCATGTTGATGCTTTTGCTTTCTTCTTACTAGAGCAGAATAGGATAATGACAGAAAAATTTCAACGTTACTTGTACGTTTCTCCATTATACAGGATAAGTATAAATAATATCTTAATCTTTTTTTTTTTCATGTTTATTTTTCCTTATAGAACTGAATTATTGCAGGTATACAAGTTCTACAATCAAGAGTATCAAATTTTTATCCAACACATTAATCGAGTTTCAGTTAAAGAAAGCAAACTTATTGTTCAACCCATAATTTTCGCAAAACATTGGGTTCTTCTTATAGGAAAATTGAGGGAGAAAGTCTGGAAAATGCACGACCCGGCCCGGCTAGCCCGATTATATCGGGGTGGGAACAGACGATCGTACGGAAGAGCATATAAAGTATAAACAATTTCATCAAAGACTTTAAGAGTTTTACATAAACATCATCAATAAACATGAAAGAGCCACTAAACAACAATAAATTCAGATAGTTCCAATCAGTTCAATTGTCTACCAACGACACCAAGATCAACTCAATCGAGCCAAATGAGTCCGAATCAAATGGTTCGAAGCGCTGTTTGGGAAGGTTCAAACACAATTTGAAGAATTAACCAAACAATCTATCCGATTTTGACGAGCTTAGAATAAAATACTCGAAATCGAACGGCTCGACGGACGAATCCAACCGAGCCCCAAGATCATCAAATTTCCCAAATCATAAGGCCTTCAAAATGTCCAACGAACGGTGCATGATCGAAGGATTCGATAATTCCGGCCGTCCTTCGGAATCACTCCCAATTCGCCTTGATCTCACGTAGCCTAATTTACGGAGACATGACCAACATCCAGAAAAAACTATAAATAGAAGCCCTCATTCTACATCAGGGGGGCCAAGTGAAGAGAGAGAAGAAGGAAGAGGAGAAAGGGGAAAAGGAATTCCTCACCTCCTCGACCACGCCGGAGCTCTTCCTGCCGCCTGAAGACACCGAACTTGGCCGGCATTTTTCGGGAGGGAACGCCCGAATTCTGCCCAACTTCCATGCGGATGCTGAAAATTCTTCCCAATTTACAAGGAGGAATTCCCTCATTGACGCCGAAACTAACACGCCCAAAGTGGAAGCCAGAGTTCTCCTCTGCCACCAACGACGTCGGACTTCTACCCGACATCGGACCTTCACTCTTGCCAAGCTTCTACCCGACGCCGGACTTTCTATCGGTATATCGGACTCCGCTAGACGGTTATGCGAAGATGCATTCTTTTCATTGCTTGGACTTCTACCTGACGTGTACCTTACTTGATCTTCGTTGTCAGACTACAGTCTTTTCGACCTCCGTCTGGCCAGCCGACTACGGTCCTCAATTAGATATTACTGATTCAGATCCAGCCGACTACAGTCTTTTGACATCCGTCAGCCCGATTGAAATACCGGTTTCCTCCTGACTTATGTCGCTCACCGATATAATCCTTCCGACCTCCGTCGCCCGCCGACTTACAAGTCCTTCCTGACTTACGTCGCCCGCCGACTCTACAATTCCTCGTCGCCAGCTGACTACGGTCCTCTTCTGACCTAGTCGGGCACGCCAACTGCAAGTCCTTACTAACAAGCGAATACCGTCAGATAGTAGATCCTTTGTATTTACCATCATGTTAATGTACTCCATAAGATGTACAAATCAATGCTAAGGCTTTCTTCCCAAGAAGGCGTCCTCATTGTAACTCGACTGCAAAGTACTTAGTGGTTCGTTCAAACTGGGCTAGGCCCCGTGGTTTCCCCTTTACATGGGCTTTTCCACGTAAAAAAATCTGGTGGTCTTCCATAATGCTAGACCACTTTTCTTTCTTTTTTTCCCTTAATTTTCTGGGGGGGCTTGCGGTTTTGGGCCCCAAGAATTTTTTCTTTCGTTAACAATGCTAAGACGGTTAAATATAATATTTCTTACCGCAGCGAAATACTCCTGGACGCAACAGCTTGTGCGCGTCTGTGCGGAAAACGTTGATTCCCGACTAGGGGCAACTTTCTCCCAATACTCAAAGATTCACAACATAAGCATCAATATCATAAGAAGAATAATCGGACTGGGGGCAACATTTAGACTACAAACCATGGTCAAATTAGATCCTCAAATACCTTCAAACATTTCAGAGTTGATATTTCGGAATATCCGACGCAAATGCCAAGGCATACTTCAAATTCAATACAAAAACTTTATACAGTCCATTTGGTTGGACTTTCTACTCCTCGAGCAAGGTCTTAACCTCGACCTCAAACAAGGCGTAGTACGGATGCAAAAATAGATCATCTTCACCTTTGATTTGGGATACCACGCGGCATTCGCCCGCCCTCCCAATCAAGGTAAATCGATCCCAGGGGGATCCGATTCCGACCTCTTTCCACACAGGTTAACGTCGCTCGAGCAAAGCATCCGACATAAACCTCGGAAGGTCCCCACATTCCTGGTGGATTCTCCCGACCTCTTCCACACAGGTTAACGTTCGTCGAGCAAAAGGCTCCGACATACAACCTCGGAAAGGTTCTCACATCCTTTGGTGGATTCTCGCCGACCTCTTCCACACAGCGTTAACGTGATCGAGCAAGGCTCCGACATTTACAACCTCGGATAGGTCTCACATCCTTGTGGATTCCTCCCGACCTCTTCCACACAGCAGTTTAATGTTCGTCGAGCAAAGGCTCCGACATACAACCTCGGAAAAGTCTCACATCCTTGTGGGTTCTCTCGGCCTCTTCCACACAGGTTAACGTCGTCGAGCAAGCGCTCCGGCATTACACCTCGGGAAAGGTTTGTCACTCCTTTTGGTGGATTCTCCCGACCTCTTCCACACTAGGTTAACGTTCGTCGAGCAAAGGCTCAGACATACAACTCCGGAAAGGTCTCACATCCTTTGGTGGATTCTCTCAGCCTCTTCCACACAGGTATAACGTCGTCGGCAAAAGGCTTCCTACATACAACCTTTGGAAAGTTCTCACATCCTTGGTGGATTCTTCCCGACCTCTTCCACCACAGGTTAATGTCGTCGGCAGGGCTCCGGCATACAACCTC